TATTTAAATATTTTAAATAATTAAAAAAGTAGATCAGTGATATATTTATAGTAATTATGTAGACAAATTTGCCTGCTAAACTCTACAAAATAAGAGATAAGTTTCATATTTATTATCAATAGATTTACTAATTCGCCAAGCATAATTAAGAGTTCCAAGATAGTTTCCTTAACTATATCTATATAAATTATTAATTTTATTTTTTAATTATTAAAATTAGAAAATAAATTCATATTATTTTACTAACAATTATATTGACAAAAAAATGAATACCTATATAAACTAATTGGAAAAGATAATTCTAATTCTAAAATCTATCTATGATATTCAATACTTTTGGATAGAAGAAACTCAGAGATTTCAATATAATCATAAAGCTCTTTTCTCACAAGACTTTTTTCTAATTCTATATAATTAGAATTAATTTTCAAACTATCTAAAATAATTTTAAGAGTATAGTTTTTACTAGATATACAAACTAATTCAGTAAAATTGTGTGTATTATTAGTGAGCTGAGAAGATTTTTGTAAATGTTCTGCATATTTTCACATTATAGCAACCAAATTAAAAACTTCAGGAATAATTTCAGCCTAATACTTTTTTGCTTGCCCATATTTCAAATGCACTATACTCAATAGACTTGCAATACTCAAGTAATTTTTGATTTGAAAGTCATTCTTTTTTGTGATGTGATTTAAAATAATATATATTATAAGTAAAACCTGATTTGTAAACAGGCAACTGCTGAAATAAAGTAGATATATTACATGAACAACCTTGTAATAATTTGATATGTGGATTGATATACTATATAGCACTAGATAAACAATCTAAAAATAATTTGCCTCTTGTATCATAACATCTTATAGACCATTCTCCATCTTTTTCTTTAAGAAGATCAATAAGATCATTATATAGACAATTATGACTATTTTCTCAAGTTAATTTTTTAGAAAAATAAAGTTGTTTAGCATTGTTTATTAATACCATATTTGCATTAGATAATGTGAATTTTATAACATTTTGTGGCTCACTATATTCAAGTAAAAATCAAATCATTCTGAAGTTTAATTGAACTAATGCTTGTAAGTAGTCATCTAACCTATCCTGTAATTTTGTCTATTTATTATCCTTTTTTTTATAACCAAAAACTTGAATTCTTCTTTCCAAAAATTGATTGCTTGCAATTTCAAAAAGCAAATCATTGAAAGTTCTATTATCTATTATATGAGATACATTAATTGCTACTTCATATAAAACTTTAGAAGGTTCTTCAACTACTACATAAATATAATTCATATTGACGCTGATATTGCTTAAAAATAATGTAAAAAGATTTGCAAATAACAAATACATATAAATAGAAAAAATATGCTAACTCAAAATAGTAAAGTTTACGGGTATAGATATTAAATAATTCACATGTAACTCTTCCCGTAGATCACTCTTACCAAAACAGGAACAAAAGAAAAAACTTTCCCGCAGAATTATCTCAAAATTTTA